CTGGCTGCTGCTAACTGCAGAAACAGGTGGTTGCCTCAGCATACTCCCAGCCATTTGTCTTCCTCCAGCATGATGTTCTCCTAGCTGTAGCCTGTTTGTTCCTCTATACGTGTTGCTAAGGATAAATACATAGAATTCAACTTGCTATTCTTTTTACCAGGTATACCATATACCTTGGATGTATTGATATGCCAGGACAGATTTCTCATTCTTTTTATGATCATACATAGTGTTTCACTGTATGGGTGTATATTTAGTTCCCCATGATGGACATCTGTTCCAGTTTTGCCATTACAAACAGTGCTTTAAACTAAATACATAAAAATCTTTATATATGTAACTTTGTGCTCTTGTGTGGGTAAATCCAAAAAGTGAAAGTATACAGTCAAAGGCTATTAAATGTTGATACTGCCAAAAAATAATGTACCAGTTTCAATAGGGCATCATTTAAACTGGGTCCACAGCTCCAGTTTTGAAAAATAAGCTACTATTTCTGAGGCCACAATATAAACTTCACTCTATTCCCTTCTCTGGCAGGTGGGCATCAACTACCAGCCCCCCACTGTCGTCCCTGGGGGAGACCTGGCTAAGGTACAGCGGGCTGTGTGCATGCTGAGCAACACCACTGCCATTGCCGAGGCCTGGGCCCGCCTGGACCACAAGTTCGATCTCATGTATGCAAAGCGAGCCTTTGTGCACTGGTACGTGGGGGAGGGCATGGAGGAAGGGGAGTTCTCTGAGGCCCGGGAAGACCTGGCAGCACTGGAGAAAGATTACGAAGAGGTTGGTGTAGATTCCGTGGAAGCAGAGGCTGAAGAAGGGGAAGAATACTGAATGGGAGAGTGCGGCTGGCAACCATCCCTTTGTTTCCCATCCCCCACTGTAACATTACAAGACATGTTTACAAACTATTAAAGTTTCTGTATTGAGATTATCATTCATCTCTTGTGCTTCTCTTTGACAAAATTCCCCATCCAAATACCTGCCTTTTTCCAAGTGGATTTCTAGGGGAAAAACATGTTTCCTCTCAGACCGAAAAAATTAAGCATGTCTGTATGTTATTGTATTACTTCCAGAAAGAAGGCTTCAAAAGGCACAGCTCAGGGAGTTAAGAAAGAAGATGCTTCGATTATTTTACATTTAAACATTCTTAAATCCATCCCATACTTTGATGTTCTTTGAAAAATGGGAAAGTAACAGTTTTTTCTAAGCAGTGGAGTGGCTGTTTTCACCCTGTCTTGGGAGGGGCCAGGGATGCAGCCCCACCCAGCACAAATCTATTTCCTGACCTCCGACTCCGCGAAGGTCCTTAGCTTTTCCCTGTCATGTCCCTGCTGGAAGAAGTCGCTACCACAGAACCACCTCGGCCCATCACATTTTCCCAAAATGTAATCAGTGGCCACCTCCCACCCTTCTCATTACAGGCACCTCTCCAGAACTTAGTCGTGAGCACTGGTTTTTGTCAGGTTCTTTTGATAAAGCGTCCCGGCCCTTTTTCTTGCTGTTGGAGTTGACTTTCTTGCAATCGGGGCCTCCCTGGGCGGCCGGTTTCCCGTCGCGCAGACCCGTACGCCGGGCCCTGCGCTGCCGAGCGGAGCCGTTCATTGGGTACCCCGGCGTAGACCGCCAATAGTTAGAGCCGAAAGGACAAAGGAGAGGGGCCCACCTAGCCATAGCGCAGGCGTCCAGGGACCCTACGACGAAACGGGCCCCGCGACGACCCCACGCTCCCGCCACTTCCGGGACCCGCCCCGCCCCGCCCCACGGACGAGCGCCCGCGCTTCCTAGTCTCTATGGTAGCAACTTCCGCCGTTCGCTACACCTCGCGAGACTACGGCGGCTCAGCAATGGCAAGACCGTGAGAGCCGCTGACCGGAGTCAGGAGAACGGGTCTGGTCCGGGGCTCGGGCGAGATCGGGCCGGAAGAGAACTGGCAGGCCAAGGCTGCCCGAACGGGAGCGGCGGCTGGGGGCGCGAGGCCCCTCTGGGTCCGAACAGCCGCCCGCAACCAAGCTCCCGCCTCTTCCCCAGATGCCGCGTCATTGCTCCGCCGCCGGCTGCTGCACACGGGATACGCGCGAGACGCGCAACAGCGGCATCTCCTTCCACAGGTCAGCGCGCGTGCGTGCTGGCACGCGAAGGTTCACGTGCGCATGCGCCTGTTTTGCCTGTGAAGTCACGATTGCGCATGCTCTTTCTTTGGTTGGGGGCGAGGCTTGAACTTGTAGGTGGGAGAGAGTGAAGGGGACGGTCCAGGTGGGACTGAGTCCAGACGGGAAGAGACGAAAGGGAGGTCCATCATCTTTGGGACTTCTTTTCTGCGACTCTTACCTGCTAGGTGACACTGACCACATTGTTCTCCTTTTTGAGGCCTCAGTTTCCTCATCTGTGCTTACCTGACAGAATTGAAGGGAGTTCTCTCGCAGCATGTGCAGGGCCAGCTCTTCCCACCTGGGGAGCTTATGCAACATGATCCCAGGGCTGCAGGCAGCCTGGGGCTCACGGGTTTGTGGCTCCACAGACTTCCCAAAAAGGACAACCCAAGGCGAGGCTTGTGGCTGGCCAACTGCCAGAGGCTGGACCCCAGCGGCCAGGGCCTATGGGACCCAGCATCCGAGTACATCTACTTCTGCTCCAAACACTTCGAGGAGAACTGTTTTGAGCTGGTGGGAATCAGGTGAGCCTCCTTGCCAGCCAGCATTGGGGCATCTGTAGGGCCGGATGACGAGATCCCTATAGTAGCTGGAACGAGCTCGTTTCAGGGGTGGCTGCCTTTTCCCATCTCTGTACCCGTTTCCCCTTGTGACAGATGAGGACAGTAAGACCCACCCCCTCAGGATGACTGTGCCAGTGACACAAAGAAAAACATTAGCTTTTCCAGAGGGTGTTCCTTAAAACCCCAGTCTTCCCACCAAGTCCCCAAATGAAAAAAATTCTTTTTGGCCGGTCAGCCCAGTTCTGGTGGAGCCTTTCCACGCACCTTAAGTTTGAGGAGTTCTGCAGGGAAGACACTGGTGTAAATCCGCCTAACTTGGCATTGCCCAAACGAATTGTTTTCAATATGCCTTCCCACCTCTCACGGTGCTGGCTAGCACTGGGGAGCCTGCTCTGGGGTGCTGGAGGGCATGCAGGCTCTGCGCCCCTGCAGATCGGCTGGGGGTGTCAGCGCTTGTTCTCCATCTCATCCAGGCTTATTTTCCCCCACAGTGGGTATCACAGGCTGAAGGAGGGGGCAGTTCCCACAATATTTGAGTCTTTCTCCAAGTTGCGCCGGACAACCAAGACCAAGGGACATAGTTACCCACCTGGCTCCCCTGATGTCAGCCGGCTCCGGCGATGCAGAAAGCGGTATGTGCTCCAAGTGGGGGGTGCCCCATTCCCACCCCAAGTCTGAGGGACAGGGCTTTAGGATATCTACCAGCAGCCATGCTGAAGGGTCCTGAGCCTGTGAGGCGGGTTTAAGGGGGCTGGTGAATTGTGGTCTGGCAAGCTTTTAGCCTGACCTGTCAGTCTCCCCACAGCTGCTCTGAGAGTCAAGGGCCCACAACTCCTTTTTCTCCACCTCCACCTGCTGACATCTCCTGCTTTCCTGTGGAAGAGGCCTCGGCACCTGCTGCTTTGCCTGCCTCCCCCACTGGGAGGCTGGAGCCTGGCCTCAGCAGCCCGTTCTCAGACCTCCTGGGGCCCCTGGGTGCCCAAGCGGATGAAGCAGGCTGCAGTGCCCAGCCCTCACCGGAGCGGGAGCCAGAGCGGCAGCCATCCCCTCTCGAGCCACGGCCTGTCTCACCCTCAGCATACATGCTGCGCCTCCCACCACCTGCTGGAGCCTACATCCAGAATGAGCACAGCTACCAGGTGGGCAGTGCGCTGCTCTGGAAACGGCGGGCAGAGGCTGCACTCGATGCCCTGGACAAGGCCCAGCGCCAACTGCAGGCCTGCAAGCGGCGGGAGCAACGGCTACGGCTGCGGTTGACCAAGCTGCAGCAGGAAAGGGCACGGGAGAAGCGGGCACAGGCAGATGCCCGCCAGACTCTGAAGGAGCATGTGCAGGACTTTGCCATGCAGCTGAGCAGCAGCATGGCCTGAGTGAGGGGCCACTGGACCCAGGGTTGAGGGGCTGCCTGTCAGGGCGCCAGCCTCTTCCTCCTTCAGAATCCACCTGGAGAGGGACCTAATCAAAGCTGCATCCACCAGACCCACCAGATGCCATAATAAAGTGGATTCCTGAAGGAGGCCCTGTATCTGATTCATCTGGGGGCTGGGGCCCCTCCCTGGATACCAGGCTTATTCCCCCAGACAGTGGCTGCAGCCCCCAGGAGGCTTAGACCCTGGAGTCCAAGTTCTTGGCTGTGGAGAGCAGAAAGCCCTACTCTTGCTCACCCCTCCCTGTGCAGCTCCATGCCCCATGGGGTTCTCTGAGGAACAGGATGGTGTGAGTAGAGGCTGCAGGCAGCACGAGGAACCCCTTTCCTTGGCACCTGAAACAGCCTGACTTAAGCAAGCTTATCCCCTTTGGAAACACTCCTAAAACCCAGGCCAGACTCAGTTCCTTTGGGGGGACACAACAGACTTCCATTCACAGGCCCGGTCTGCCCAGCCTGAGTCCCAGCCTACAGGCCAGCTCCCCACCACTGAGCCCGTATTATTTGAAAACAAGGACAATGATGACAATTTCTGACCACCTGAGGCTTCTATGCTTGGCAAGTAATGAGGACCCAACAAATGACATCTCTGGTCCCTAGAGGTCTGGAGAGAAAGGTGGGAGAAGCACATGGGCATCAGTCCTGGCCTCAACCTATGTCCCCATTTTTCAACTCAACTGGAATCTAGGGCTCCCTGCATCTGTGACCATGGCAAACAGCTCGGTGCATGGGGTGATTAACCACACAGGTAACCTCTCCCTGCTGGGCCTCGGCCACAACAGCCTCAGGAGCATAGATGAATTCTTTCTGGTCCTGTGAACTGTCAGGGTTCTGAAATTTGCTTTTTAGAGCCCTGGGTGTATAGCTTCCTTTATTCATATCACGTCTAGAAAAGAGTCAAGCAGCCAGTTACAAGGGTCCCTGTCTGCTGTCAAGCAGGGTTTGCTGATCATCCCCCAAGCTCATCTTCTTGACCCGAACCATTTCCTGGCTTGCTGGCTGCCTTATGGATGGGCTCCCCTTGCCCAAGACTGCCCACCTGCCACCAGGGTTCTTCAGCAATGGCCCAGTGGTGACAGGTACCACATTTGTGTGCGGCACAGCCAGGGAAAGGAAGCGAGATTTAAGGCACGTAAGAGAGAGAGAGAGAGAGAGAGAGATCATTTCCATCAAAAATGGCAGCCGGGCTAGAAGGGTCCCTGAGATTTGTTCCCAGAAAGGAGGCAGAATAGTGCCTTCCACATTGTGGTGGACTGACACACAGGGTCTTCTGTCAGGTCACAGGAAAGGACACAGTGCCTCGTCCTCAGTTCCCAGCCCAGGCAGAAGTCTACAGTACAGCATAGGAGCAAGGCAGCTAGGGGAGGAGGGTCGTGACCCCAGGGTTCCCCTCAGGAGGGGAGAAGCCAGCCTGGATTCCAGGCAAGACTGGCCAATCCCAAGCAATTGGGCTAAGTGGTCAGTCCATAGCTTTGGGAGGGCCGAGGGTCTGAGGCCAGAGCTCACTGACTGGGACTGCGCCAGCAAGTTGTGTATAGTAGGTAGCACTTCTGTGGCTTTAATGGAGGCATGTCTATGACAGAATAAACACTAGTGAGGGGCAGACAGGGACCTAGGGGACATCTTTGTTGACTTCGTGGCACAGCCCAGGGCCCCAAGGTGCACACAGGCACTTGGGATCCTGCAGCCCCTCTGGAATCCAGGCCTAGTCCAGAGTGGTTGACCCGGTGGGCTGGGAGCTGACCTTAAGGCCCTTCAAACCCAAAAATTCATCTTGGAGGGCACCAGAATTCATCTTGAGTCAGATTCCATCTGTCCACTGTTGCCCACACACAAGATCCAGGTGACAGGAGGAGCTCCTTACATGGACCTTGGCAAGGGTGAGGGCGTGCTGTGTGGTGCCCACATTGGAAGGACCTTTGCAACATGACTCAGTGGCCAGATCCACAAGCTATGCTGGGTCCCTGCCGGATGGGGGTTTCAAAGCCAGCTCCCAGGTGGGCTTTCCCCGATGCTGGGCCCTGGCAGGGATTCCTGCCTCCTGCTGTGTCACTGAATCCTAGCTTCCCACCCACCCCTCTACCCCAGGAGAGGGTGCTGGCCAAGGGGCCTGATTCACCAACTGCTTCTTGTGAGGCATGTCCTTAGCAGTGAAATGGGGCGTTTGGAGCCCCCCACATCCCCTCAGCTCCCTTCTGAGGCTCTGAGCACCCTGCCCCTTGGCCAGCAGGTCTGACCACTCCATCGCAGGCCTGAGGGTAGCCAGCACAGTCTTTGCAGGGGACAGACAGGCATGCTTATTCTCCACGTGTGGGCTGGCACCACCGGGGCCCTCATATGTCGGCGCCCAACTCTGCACACTGCTTGTCGGAGATGTGGGAGGCCAGGGAGTCTATGATGTCGAGCAGCAGCTGTTGGCTCAGTGAGCGCAGTGTGGGCAGCTTGGAGACCTGCGGGAGGCGATCAAAGGCCAGAACAGGATGGAACCAGATTCACGAGAGGGCCGGGTAGGCTCCAAAGACGGGATGAGTGGCCAGTGGGTGGGTGGCTCTGCTTGGTTATCCCCAGGGCCCACTGCTGCAGAAGATGGCCAGATTCCAGGCACCTCCCCACCCCAGCCGGCCGAGGCTGCTGCCAAGGGAGAGTGGGTCCTAAGGACGAGGGAATAGCAGTGAGCACTGGGCCAGGAGAGCCCTGACCTTGGTGAACTGGTGCACGATGATGTGCAGGCAGTGCCGCTTCATGTCCAGCGCCTGCGTCTTGTCAGCCGCCTCCAGGATCTGGAAACAGCAGGTTCCTTGAGGGGCTGCCCCACCTCTCACCCACCCTCCTGGGTGAAGGGAAGCCAGTGGGCACCACGTGCACTACCTGCAGCACGTTCTGCACCGTCACATTCATCTCCAGGTTTTGCTTGCAGTACGCTTGCAGCCGGTTGTTGTAGAAGCCATAGTAGTAAGGAGCCGCAAACAGGTAGCTGTGGGGGCTGGTTAAGGAGCTGCCGCCAAAGGAGCCGTTCTCCCATCAACCACCCTTCTCCCTGGGGAGGGTGCATATGGAGCCCGCCCTGTCGGGAGCGGAGAAGACCTGAGACTGCACCTGCTCAGAACCAGGGGACACACCCCACCATGAAGGACTGGCGTGGGCTCCAATCCAGGCAGGTCACTGACTTGCTCTTTACACAGGCTTTCAACCACTTAGGTTTCAAAGGTCCCATTGAGATCCAAAGAATATCACAGAATCCTTTCCCCAGGAAAACACCCATATGCACATTTGCAGAACTGTCCACAGCCTCCCAGAGCCCTGAAGGGCATCCTTGCACCCCATGTTCAGACCCCCACTGAAGTGACTTAACCAGTAATCATTCCACTTCTGTCTGCTTTCCTGTCACACAGAGCAATGACTGACCCCTTCCTCCGAGCAGTTATGAGGGTCAAGAACCCACCCATCCCTCCTGCCTGCAAACCCCTCCGTGCCAGCAGGACAAGGAAGTCCTTGGGAAATAGGCCAGCCAAGATCGGCCAGCTGGGCCCCAAAACCGCCCACAGTAGGCAATGGAACCCCCAGTGATGACCAGGGATCACCCTTGGGGGTGAGGATGCAGTGAGTCCTCAGGTGGCATGTTGACCTCGCCGTAATAGATGTAGCGGAGCATGGACTCGAAGGCCTGCCTGCTGGGCACCATCTCTCCAATGGAGATATTCACCTGCCCATCCTCAGGCATAAACGACCGGAACATGGCTTCAAAGTAGCTGCAGACAGGGGGCAGCAGAGGCTTGGCGCTCAGCTGATATAGCCAGTGCGGCCCTGCCCCCACCCCAAGCCCTGCAGCCACACCCCCACCCACCTGGAGCGGGCAGCCAGGATGGCCTTGTGGGCTGGTCGAGGGTGCCCGTCCAGTAGCAGCGTGATGTCACAGAACTCCGCGCCTGCTCCCTCCAGGTATGCCTTCATGTCCTGGATCAGAGATGTGCCTGGGGAGGTCGGGGGCATGGAGGGACCCTGAGCAGGTGCCTCCTGCCCTCCAGTAGACCCTGAGCCATAGGGCAGCTCCTGACTGGGGACTCAGGGCCCCAGAGTACTGCTTCCTGCACATCTGCCCATTTTGCCACCCCAAATGAATCTGCCCAGGCCAGAGGCCTCACTCTGGCCCCTGAGGCACCGCCAGGGCCTGTCCTCCCTTCAGCCCCAAACACAACCCTTAGGCCTGCCCATCCTCCAGAATCTGATCTTCTCAGTCCATTGAGGCCTCCTCTGGGCCTAGAACACCCTGTGCACCTGCTTTGTGTCACCCGGATGCAGCGGCCAGGGACAGTACAGGCCCCAAAGAGAGTCAGGAATGAAGGACCCTGTGACGTCCCTTCCCAGGCTAGGTGGGGACAGGAAGGCACCAGGAGCATCTGAGATCTGTGGGCTGTGCTCATCCTTCATTGGGCCCCAGACGTTGGTGCGCTTAGAAGAGAAGCTCAGCAACTAGTCACTGTGACCCTGAGCACGTCAGTCACCTCAGAATCCCTCAGACCCTGTGTCAGTCAGAGCAGACACCCTCGCCAGAAACGGGCCCCGTGTCATCTCCAGAAACATGCTTAGAAGGTTCCCCGCCCTCAGGTTCACAGCCCGCTGTGGAAAGCCCCATGGGTTGGGTGTTCTTCTTTCAACTGAGCCTGAACTGCCTACCAGTCTGTCCCTGTCCCTGTGTCCAAGGAGCATTCTGGAGTCTCCCCTGCGCCCACCCGCCTAAGGGCCTGGAATGTGCTTCCATGTCTCCTAAGTCTACACCAAGATGAATGCCATCCTGGCCAGTCACTGGCAGGGAAGGGACCAGGCTCCCTACCGATGTCCACGGGCTGGTCTGAAGGGGCACGGGGCGGTGGCTGCTGCTTCCGACGCACAATCTCCACAATCAGTGGGGACGAGAGGCGCTCGAACTCCTTCATCATAATCACCTGATTGAAGTGGGACTCCTTCACCACGAAGTTCAGGCAGTGCTCCTGGGACAGAGAGGCAGGCTGGTGGGTGGGGTCAGGCCTTGGCCCCAACAGGGCACCAGACTAGGCAAGGGGCTTGCAGCAGTGGGCAGGGTAGGCCACAGCGCACCTTCAGCTGGCCCAGCTGCAGCCTGGCAGCGCTCTCACACACAACCAGCACGTTTTGCAGATCCACAGAGGCCTCGATGTACTGCCGACACAACTGCTCCAGGCGGCACAGCTGGAAGCTCAGAGCCAACTTGTACACATCCATGATAAGCAGCACATCCTCCACATGGCCTGTGCCCAACAGCTCCTTTAGCCTCAGAGACCGCGGGCAGGGGGGAAAAGGGAGGGACAGCCCAGGGCTTCCTCTGTGGACAAGTGTGGATCGGAGCCACCAGGCAACTGCTAAGCCACACACGGATGGTCACAGGTAATTGCAGCCTCTGAGCCTCAAGCTGTCTACCTGAAAGGAGGGCTGCCCACATCCCACCCTGTTCCCGTTCCACCCCAGCCCAGGAAGACCTTTTCTTGGGTATTTGATCTTGTCGGTGTAGAGGAACTGCATGAGCACCTCGAAGGGCCGGGCCTCGGCCTCTCGGATGGCCACATGCAGCAGGGGTGGCCGGGCCCCACCCACAGCCATACCAGGTGCTTCCTTGGGAGCCAGAGCAGCCTCTTCCTCCAGCTTCTGTGGGGAGAGGGAGAGGAGCTCAAAGGGAATACCCCATGGAGGCTGTGCCCAGGTGGGGCGAAGCGGGGCAGTACCTCACCTGGGCCAGTCGTTCCCGTGCCTGCACGATCTTCCTGCGGAGCCAACGGCTTCGTGCTGTGACAATGGCCACATGGCCCTGCACACACTCCTCCTTCTGCAGCAAGAACGATGCTTTGCTGGAAGGGCATAGGACCCTCACCCCAGGGGGCAGAGGCCCAGCCAGCTAGGGCAGGGGCCTGGGGACTCCAGGCACCAGTGGGCAGCCAGTGTGCCTCTGGGCTTGGAGGCCCCACTGCTCTGCACAGTGGGCAGGGCTGGGCACGGGAAGGGCACCCACCTCACCCAGCACAAACTCCACATCGCAAAACTGGCGGCTCTCCCACAGCCGCCCATAGTCTTCATGAAGCGTGCACTTGGGGTAACAGGAGAACTGCAGGAGGAGACCCAGGTGTTGCCAAGGGAAGCCACTGTTGGCCCTTGCTCTGCCCACTCCAGGCCACGGATGCCTTTGAGGCCTCAGTGCCAAGCCCAACTCAGCCTGGCTCCCTCCACTGACCCAGACAGCTCCCAGCCTTCCACTGGCTCTGCTGTGAGCCCCCCAACACTGCCTCGGCCACACCAGCTGCCAGACTCCTCAAAAAGGCTACCATCCTAACAGGCATACTCTTGGCTCTAGACACCCTTGGACAAGCCCTGTCCCCACCCACTGGGTCTTAGTTCCCATCATCGGGGCCCATCCACCATGGCTGGCCCCACTGCAGAGTCACCCCATGAGGTAGCCCCCTGTTCTGCAGGCCTGTGAGCCCCACCTGGAACCTGTACATCTCCCCACTGCGGATGTTGTTGTCCACGGTGCCCCCAAAGATGTACATGGCGTCCGAGATTACGGCAGCCGCATGGAAGAGCCTTCCGCTGGGTAGCTGGGTGAGGAGGTGGGAGGACAAGTCAGCAGTGTGGGACAAGGCAGGGCAGGGTCTCCAGCAGGGGGCTGGCTGGGGCCTGAGGTGGGCCAGGCTGTGAACAAGGATGTGGCACCACTAGACTTGAAGGAGGGGCTGGAGCAGGCAATGGAACACAGCTGCAGCACAGGGCAGAAGGCAGGGCCTATGTGAGTGAGCAGGCAGGACATGCCCATGACCCACGGAGTGGACAGAGCAGGTACTCAGTCTTGCGTGCTGCACCAACGTGGCCTGGCCAGCAGGGTGTGAACTCCTGGCCCTCAACTCACTGTGTGACCTTAAAAAGTACCTCTCTGAGCCTCAGTCTCCCCATCTTTGAGAGGGGCCAATCACAGACCCGGCCTCAGGAGGTGAGGGAGTGGTAACAAGGGCACTGGTTCTCACCTCTGAGGCTGGTGGGGAAGGCTGCTTGGCAGTGGTGGTGCCAAAGTCAAGGCCAAACACATCTCGAGACTTCTTGAAGCCTCCCCGCTCCTCAGAAGCCAAGGAGGGCGCTTCCTCAGAAGCAGCAGCTCGCTCTGGCACCTCAGCCCCGCCAACCTGATAGGGAGACATGAGAGTACGTGACCAGTCAGCAAGGGCCAGGCAGGCACCAGAGACTGCCTGCTGTCCCAGCCTAGAGAGCGCTGTGGGGACAGGTAGAGGGGAAGAACCACAGGATGAGGGCGCTTGCAGCACAACTGAGGCAGGGAGGAGTGAAAATATCCCCAGCGAGATGCAGACATAGTGGGAAGAGGAATGTTATGAGCCCACAGGCTGCAAGATGGAGAATGGGCAGTGGGGCCTGGGGTCCAGGGTCAGGCCAGGACAGGTGTCTAGGGCTGAAGGTGTCCTGGCCTGGCTCCTGCTGGCTGTCTGGAGCCCCGGGAGTCCCCTGAGGCTGTGAGGAGCTAGGGAGGAGGTGAGAGCAGGTGGGTCAGGAACCCTCCCCGCAGGACACAGGCCCTGGGTCTCCTCATCAGTACCTCGCAGTGCTCACCTCGCTGTCTGAACTGGGCTGGACAACCTCCCAGGTCTGGAAGTCCACATCATAGCAATGCAGCTCATTGGGCAGCGTATTGTCAGCTGCACCCCCAAACACGTAGAGGTGGCGGTCAAAGGCCACCATGGTGTGCCCATAGCGCCTCTGTGGGGGCGGCGGGGAGCCCCGGAGCAGGTGTTCAGTGGGGATACGTGTCCACCTGGGGGCACACGACAGGGAACCAGTGCCAGGCAAGAACTCCTGCTCCCCTGTGACCTTCACCTGGGCTCCGAGGTGCCCCTCATAGCAGGCCCGGGCTGGGAAGTACCCAGCGGCCCCTGGGAGACAAGCCCTGGCTGAGGGAGGGCCTGCAGTGCTTGTGCCCAGTGTCCCTCACCTCATTTCGCTCTGGCACCAGCTCTGCCGACCTCTTTGTGTGGGGGAACAAAGAACGCAGGCCTGAGCCTGGGCAGGAGGCTGCCTGGGGGCCTCCTGTGAGGAAGGCGGCACCACATTGGCTCCACCCTAGAGGGCCACCAGGGTCTCCCAACACCCATCCTGGCTGCTGCTGGTGGCTGCATCTCCCCTGGTTTTCTTCCTACCCCATCCTCTTTGCCCCAAGCTGCAACTCTGCCCCCAGCTCTGGCCTGGGCCCTTCATCCTGCAGCCCTCTGCCCTCTAGATGTGCCTTCCTCAGCCTGCCCCACAGGTGCCCCCATGCTCCTGGGCATCCTCAGGCCTGCAGTTTGGCTCTCCTCTGGCCGCCCCAGGACAGGAGAGCTGGGCATTATCAGGGTTTCCCCTGCCCAGGATGCCCAGCCTTCTTCCTTCCCATTCAACATCCTGGCCTCCAGGGTAACTTCAAGTCCCCGCCGGAGTCTCTCTAACCTGTTCCCTCTCCTCTACTCCCAGAGCCAATGCCTGGTTCACACCACCTCCAGGCCTCAAGCCCCATTATGGGGGTCAAGGGCTGGCCAGCATTCAGCATAAGCTGGAAGCTCAGGACCCACACACCCCTCTGAGCTTCTGCCATCACATGATATCTGCACCAGCCATAGCTGTTACTGGTGACACTGACCATGCCATTCATGGGGCAGGGGTATCCTTCACTAGGACAAAGAGGGAGGCTGCCCGGGCTCCATCTTGCTCAGTTGCAGCCACATCGAAGGGGCCTGCAGGGGGCCTCTGACCCAGTCTGTATACAGCACTGCACAACCCCACCTCGGGAAGGTGGCCCTGCTACATGAGGGAGCTCACAAGGATGGCTCCAGACGCAGGCGTGGGGTGTTGGCCGAGGGCCTCACTACCAGGGCACTCACGTCTTATCCTTGAATTCAAACTGGAAGAGGTTGTTGGTTATCTTGGCTCCGCTCTGCCCTGAGAACACAAACATCTTGTCCCGGCACACGGCCACCGGGAAGTTGCAGCAGGATGGCGGGATCTCACCACTCTGGGCCACCTGGGGGTGAGGGTGGGGGTGGGGCAGCTCAGCCCTGAATTCTCATAGGACCCACACACACACACACGTCTGTGCTTACACTGCTGAGCTGGGACTGCTTTTATTCCTGAAGTTTCTTTTATGAATAAGGGTTCATAGATTACTTTTTGCGGAACAACTTAAAGCTCCATCACATCCTCCTAAATGGGGGCTAAAATCATCACTACAGGAGAAAGAAACTCCCTGGGGAAAGACAGTGGAGCTATCGGACAGATGGCTGGGGAACAACAGCGGGTGGCATGCTGCCCTCACTATGTTCAGGTAGGGTGGTTATACCCCCGCCGCATCAGTCACCGGTGAGGGACTGCCGTCCAAAGCGCTTTACAGAGCCTTTAGTCACTAGGTAACTGCTGCTGGAATTGGTCATGAGGGCCAGGAAAGTCAACGGGGAGGGCGAGGGTGAGGCCGAAGACAAGGCTGAGCTTTGGCAAGGGGAGCAAAGCAGCTTCCACCCTGGCCCACACCAGTCCTTGAGCCACCGAGCCCCTCGTCTCTTCCTCCCCGCAACTCCAGCCCCTAGAGCTCCTCACCTCCCTGCCTCCCCTACCTCAGCTCCCTGCACCCACCCCAGCCCCCCACACCTCCCTCGCCTCTGCCTCTCCCTACCCCAGTCCTCCATACCCCTCACCCTCCTGCCTCTCCCTACCTTGGCCGCCCCATGCCCCTCACCCCCCTGCCTCTCCCTATCCTGGCTCCCCCATGCCTCTCACCTTCCAGCCTCTCCCCAATCCCACCCCAGCCCCCGCAAGCCCCTCACCTCCTCCCAGCACGTGAGCTCCCGGTCCTGGAGGCTAATGGTCCACATGTCATTCAACCTGAATGAAGAAAGCAAGGTCAGAATGCCCCTGGCTGGGGCCAGATGTCAGGGTGGGCCTGGGCCTGGCCAGGAGAGGTGGCTCCAGGGAAGAAAACCCCATTACATGGGACTCTGACCAGGGAACTCTGAGGCAGCCATGAAGTGGGAACTTCAATTGTGGGGGGCTGCATTGAGTCCCTAGTGTGCCAGGCCCCCACCCAGCCAGTCAGGAAGAACAGCTTTACTCCTGACATTTAGGGCAGGGGGCAGGGTCAGCCACTTGGCTGATTCCCAGAGTTAGGAGAGAACTTCAAAGAGGCTACACTCACAGAAATTGCACCATGTGGAGTTTCTATAATGCTGAAATCTGGGGGAACGAGCACATGCTACTGTTGTAATCAGAAAAATACAGCAAAGCCCATTTGCTAAAGTAAGGAGGACAAATGCCTGTGACAGAGGGGAGAACCCTGCTGTCCTCCGTAGGGAAGGGGCCAGGTCTGAGCCCTGCCGCCGCTAGCCACCTGCTCACTCAGGCCCTCAGGGTCACTCCTCACTGTAGCCCTGTGTATTCTCACCCCAGCAAGTCAAAGGGCCACCTCCCCCAACTTCTAGCTATGATGACACCCAGTTACTTGCTCTGGAGATCTGAACACCCTCGACAGCTGCACAAATATGGGCCAGGCTTGCTGCACCCTCAGACACACTGGGGGAATCTCAAGGGTACCCATCCTTCTGACCACTGGGAAGGTCAGGTAGGGGCTCCACTCAGTGGCCCTTACCCCCATCCTGTCCATCTTCCTCTCCCCCCACCCCCTATCAACACACCCACCTTTCTGAGAAACCCCCAGCCTGAACCTTCCCATGCCAGAAAGGCCTGCTCTGTGCCTCAGGACACTAGGCCATGCAGGGGCAGGGCACAGGCCAAGCCACCACCTACCTGGCATTGCCGTCATAGCCGGCAAAGATCCACAGCTTGTCACTGTACACCGTGGCACCATGGGCTGACCTAGCGACTGGCAACCTGGAACATGGGCAATGGGGGAGGAGAGAGGCCACTCAGTGCAGACCGGAGCCTCATAGCCTCACAAGGCCGATCAAAGGGCCACAGCCCTGCAAGCCCTGCCAGGCCCTGGGGATGCTGTGTCCACATCTGCTGACACTGGGACTCCAGGGACTACAGCTAGGACATAAGTGACACCATCAGGGACCAAGCTTATGAGGCACCAGGCTGCTGATGAGGCATTCAGATGTCCACAGGGCACAGAGCTTTCTCTATCCAGCTGCCACCAAAATATCAAAGGGGGTGCTTGCAAGGCAGGACCACTGAAGCACCCATCACAGGACAGTTGGGTCCCTTCTACTTTCTGAAAGAAGGCAATCTAAGAGCCGGGAGGGGGCTAGAGGCAGGCACAGTTAGCATTGACTCTCAGCTCCCAGGCCTCTCCAAGGCTCTTCATCTGTCATGCTACGGGGCCAGAAAGCTGACAGGATAACCCCAAAGGCTTCCTCAGTCTCTCACCGTCCTTCAATTTTCCACTCCGTCCACTGGCCAGTTGCGAACTTGTATTCAAAGAGGTCATTTTTATTCTTCAAGTTAGAATTGGAATAAATGTCCCCAGTGTAGCCCCCTGGGTAAACAGAGAGAAAGTGTCACACCAAAGGCAGCATTTCAGAGTCCTCACACTCCAGGAGATGGAGGCAGAATCTGGCTCCATTGAAAATGCATTCCAGAACGCCCTGGAGCTCTGGGAGCACCTACTGCACGCTTGCCTCTGTGCTGGGCTCTGGGGACGCAGAGATCAGCAGGGCCCCCATTCCCTGTCCCTGGTAGAGATGGGGAGTCACCTTCCGGCCCAGTCAGAGGCAGGCAATTCCAACCCCAAAAGTTCAGGCCGAGGTGTGGACAGAGAGAAGCTGGCCAAGCACAGCACGTGGGCCTAAGACTTGGCAGGAGGGCGTGAGCGGCAGCTCACCGAAGACGAACATGCTGCTCCCGTAGACTACGGCGGAGTGGTGGTAGCGGGGGGCCGGCGGGGTCCCAGTGGTGAAGGCCCTGGCAGGGGAATAGGCGCAGTGTGTGTCAGCAGGGGTCAGCCAGCCATGCGGTCAATGCTGCACAGGGCAGCCCCTGCCACCCCATGTTTCCTTTTATTTTTGTATTTTCAAGGCAATACCTGTATCATCAGAGAAACTTTTCAGGAAATTGCCAGTAAGGAAAAAACAAAAACCAGCACTAAAATGTATGTATAATCCCTTTTCCAGAAACTACTGTCCACAGCTGAAGGTCTCCCCCACACCTTTCTATGCATATTGTGCCTCTGAGTGATTTTTTAAAATGGAATCATGTGGTAGATGTAATCTGCTCTTTCAACTAAACAGTAGACTGTGACTAGGTCTATTAGAGAATCATCATTACCCCCATTCTCACAGCTGCCCTGTATTCTGCAGCATGGGTGGTCCACACATTTTATTTGTTGAATTAAAATCCCATTTATACTGCTTTCCTGGGGCTGCTTCCTTTCAGAGTTTTATACTTAAGCAATTTTAACAAATAATTGTAAAGTCTTCAGAGTGAATTTTTAAAACAAATCTGTAACTTTTGGCCTCATTTTAAAATCAAGTGTGAGAGAAACAACATCTAAACTTCTATGGCAATCTCGGCACTACCCAGGTCTCCTGGGAAGAGGGTGGGTGGCACGGAGTTATGCCACCCTGGCATGCCAGATTCAGCAGCTGTGGGTCTTGGACCCGGACATCCTCCTCCGTCAAAGAGGGGGTGGTGAGACTCCACCCCAGAGGACTGCTGGGGACAGAGAGGGCTGTGCTCAGAGCTCCTGCACAGAGCATGGCATCCAAGGGTCTCAGTGAATCTGTGTGCCTGAACAAGCAGACAGCAGAGCTCATGAGGAAGCCCAGTGTCTCCTAATCTCTGGATCCATTTCTCCCCCTCAGCTGTGAGCTGCTCCCAGGTAGGGGCTAGACTGTAGGGCACAAATGTGCAGTGCTCAGAGAGGGCAGGTGCTTTGCCCAAGGCTACACAGCTGGGGAAAACGATCTATAGGAGGAAGGTAAGGCCTGCATGATACCCACTGCCTATGTGGGGTCTTCTGGCAGAGGACGGGCCCCATGGGGCAGGGAGGGAAAAGGAGGCTCTGCAGCAGCAGAGTCAATCCTGGAAGGACCCATCAACCAATGGCCCCCCATGTTAGCTCCCACAGTGCCCCTAGCCTGGGAGACAGGCCTGGTGACTGAAGGGCTCTCCTGAGGCAGAATTTGAGGACCCACAACCAGGTCAAAGAGATCCCATAATTAACAGGATTCAGAATAATCAATCTCAGTCACAGACTGGAAAAGAAACCCAGGAAATGGAGGGAACACTAAGAGAGGCCCTGGGCATGGCATCCTAGAGGCTACTGTTATCTCCTCCTTGAAGCTTCTCTCTACCTTTCCAGAAGCATGACTCCACTGGCAACCAGGGCCCAGCACAGTGATACCATATTCTAGGAAAAAGAGCGGGGCCCTGGAGCTCTAGAGGCCACCAACCTGCACCAGGAGCAATCCTTCACATCGAACCGCAGGAGGTCATTGAGCATCGTCTTCCTGAAAGACAGCCAGGGAGAAGTGGCTTGGTCCTGGTCTGCTCTGCAGGGCGCTGCCTGGCCAGGACTTGGGAGATGGACACTGACGCCCGGGGGTGGGGGAGCTGCTTTGGGGGACTTAACTAAGGCCAGACAACCAGCTGATGCCGGAGGGACCAGAGAGGTGACCACAGAGGAAGTTCCCGAGCTGGTGCAGGCACAGGAGGTGCCTGCCAGGGGTCAGGACCAAAGCATGATCCCAGCCATCCCACGCCTGACTTGAGGGCTCACAGCCCACCCTGGTCTCCAGAATCCCTGCTTGCATGTCCCAGAGCCCCCTTCCCTGAGGCTATGCCACCACAATGCAGACACTTGCCCACATCTCAGGGGAGGCCCCTTCCCTTCTCTTAGATCTTCCTGCCACCTCTTTATTGCAAAGTCAGTGTAACAACTACATCAAAGATACAATAAAATTGAAAACAAGTCCACTGGCCATGGCACCACCTAACACAACTTGCATGTTACCACCCAGCCCTTGTCAGTAAGAGGAAAGAAGGACATAAACCCAACAGGAGCCCAGCACCCCCTGCATGCCTGGCCAGGCTTGTTCCCCTTGCACTGCCTCGCTCAGTCTGCACCAGATGACTGCACTCTTCCCCTCCATTTATAGAAGAAACAGCCTGGGAGATAAAAGGGCCTGGTTGAGATCATGCAGCCAGGAAACCTGGAACTGCTAACCCCATGTGTGACTGTAATTCCTCCCCTCTCCCATTTGCCCCTCCTCCCCCACTCCCACTCCTCATACCCCAGGGTTGCAGGCCATCTTTCTTTGTACCCAGTCAGTCTTTACAAAGTTGCAACTAGATTGAGACAAATTTATATCCTGTTTCTTATTGTCACATATAGCAAAAATGTTTCTACTTGTTGCTATATAGTTATCATTCAAACTGCCTGTCACTCTTGGGGATGGTCCCACCCACTGCACTGCACTGGACACCAGGCCTTTCCTGGTTTGGGGGATTCTCATGAAGGTTCCAGTAAACATCTTTATTTCATTCCTTTATGTGACAAACATTTGTTGAATTGTCTGGATGCTGGGATACAGGTCCTGGCTGAGGATACAGATAACAAACGTCTGTGTGCTTTGGGACCATGGAGCTGAAAAGAGGTACAGAAGGAGAAGGGAAGGCCTCCAATTGGTCCAGTTAATCCAGGTGGTCAGGGAAGGTCTCACTCACAGGAGATCAGAGGAGAGGTGGGAAGGGTGGGAAGAAGGGAACAGCCAATGCAAGGGCCTGAGCAGGGTGTCTGGTACAATCAGAACACAGCAAGGCAGTGGTGTGGTCCAGTGTAGTGTAGGATGAGGGCAGAGAAGCAATGGGGAGGGGGGGACACATGGGCTGCCAAGAGGGATTGGGATTTGACTCAGAGAGAGGTGGGGAGAAATCCCAGGGTTATGAGCTGAGGAAGAACACACACTGACTTGCATTTTCAAATGGATCACTCTGGCTGCTCATGGGGAAGAGACTGTGGGGGAGATGGGCTGGAAGCCAAATAACCATGCCCAAGAAGACCCTTTTGCTCAGTCTGTAGGCCCTCATGGGGTCTTGCCTATCCCACCAGCCCCAAGTCAGCTCCTCCAGAGAGTCCTGTAGGACCAAGGCTGCAGCACCAATCAGAGGCCAGCCCTTCCCAGGCTTCAGGCCAGGTCCATGGTTGAGACGCAAGGACAGGACTCATGGGCAGGATGGGTCGTGTGAAAACACTGCAGGAAACTTCTCACTGGGAAACTTGGCAGGGAACACAGGGAAGCTTCTCACTGACACTCAGGAGCACCCTGCCAAAGTAGTACACATGGCCACCCCATATACAGAGGAGACCAGAGTGGAGTTATTGCTGTTAAACCACATGCCTGAGCCCAAAGCCACAAAGCTCTAACTTGAACTGAGACCTGCCTGTCCAAGAGACCAAGCTTCAGCCCCACATTCCTAGCCCTTCCAGATCTCTGGTGGGCATCCCTGGTCTTTCCAGAGCACATCAACAAATGAATGAAGGAGGGAAGCTGTGTCCAAACTCAGACCCAGTGCTATTCTGCATTCTCCCAACACCAGGCCATTGCTTATGCTGATCCTGCTGCTTGGCACACTTTCCTTTTCTGAGTAGCCCAGTCCTTCTCATCTCTCAGGTCATCAACCCGTCCATGAAGGCTTTCCTGACAGGACCAGACCCCCCTCTCCTGATCCAGAACAAACACTCCTGCTGAGCCTGTGCCTGCACCCAGTACCTGACATGGCCCAGCCCACACTAAGATAGCTCTTTCCCTCTGGGGAGGTCCAGCTCCTGGGGAAGGGTCAGAGGGAAACATACAAGGAGAAGGATGCAGCTACACAAACCAAGGGTTTCCCTCAGCCATTATCTTTCACCAACGGAAAACAGCCACAGCTTAACAGGGAACAGTTCAGGGGATGGAGGTGTGCTCACCAATAGGCTGTTGCCAGGAAAATTTTTGTTTTGCCAGGAATTCATAGCAATGTGGGAAAACCCTTATAAAAAAATTTAAAAACTTGGAAAATAAATAAAACTGTGTCCTCCATACCTTCTCAGCTGCCATGTAAGCATGTGAACGAAGCCCAGAGAGAAGTGCAGGGAAGGAAAAGTGCCTGGCAGGATGGCCGCCAGAGTGGATGTGTTTCTTTCAAGGCTGTGTCCACTCACTCAAAACAAGAGGGAAATTTCCATGTCCTGAGCATGTGCTACCCACTGGATGCTGTGTTGAGGGCCTTGAGGGGAGGGAGCCTTATAGATTGGGAAACTGAGGTTGAGTGCATCTACTACATCTGGAAAGGTAGTAGCAGAGCTGCAGAAACCCAGCCCAAACCACCATGCTTCTCCCTCCCTGGCCCAAATACCCTGATGCTCAGATTCACTCACCCATTGTCTCCACCGAATACATAGATGGCATCTTTATAAGCCACCACTGTGTGCTTGCTGCGCCTGGAAAGAAAGGAAGGGTGGGCGGTGCGAGGACAGGACCCTCTTGAGGGTACCCAAGGAATGAGACAAACCACTAGGGCTGGATAACACCTCTCAACTGCCAAGATCAACAGAAACCCCCAAGTTCTACCAGTAGCCCAAAGGACCCCACATGCGGGGACCCCTGACACTGCCCTGGGACTCTGGACTCCCCAGCTAGAGACCTGAGGCCCCAACTAGAGACCCACAAACACAACCTAGCTCTAGTACCCTGCCCCTGGCCACCCCGCTCCGGGACTCCGTCAAAACCTGCTCCACTGCCCTGGGCATCCTCCTGAACACCACCACTCGTCCCTCCATTACCAGATCCCGCTCCAGGACACCACGTCCCAGCCTCGCCCCTGGACCCCGCCATGAAACCACCTGAGATTTCCCCCCCAACCTCCAAGGTCCCTGAACCACACCGTACCGAGCCCCCACGAACTCGTCGCAGGGCGGGAGGCGCCGCCAGCGATGCACTGTCTCGAAGGGCCCGAAGTTGAGCGTCAGGTACTCGACACTATCCGAGCAGCTGTGGTCAAAGTCCACGCTCGGGGCTACCTTGGACCGCACGCCGCCTGCCAGGGCCCCGGCCCCGATCGGGCCCCCCGAGCCCCCCGTCCCAGCCATCCCGGGTCCACGCTTGATCCGCCACCAGATCCGTGGGACCAGCGGCCACCGCCCTGAGCCGCCCCCGAGGGACTACATTTCCCGGCGAGCCCTGGGCCGACGGTACGGTACTTCCGGCTAGTGTCGCGCTTTGGTACGCCTGCGCTTCCCGATAAGCCTCATGCGCCTCCTGACTCCGAGGGCCCGCGCGGCACCTGCGACCCGCCCTTGCGGCCAGTGCATAACTTTCCGTGAAGCATTTCCCGCAGAGTACCAGCGTCCGGTTCCCCCTTCCAATAAACGCGGCGTCGGGTCCCTAGCCCCGTCTGACTGCACTTTCCCGGCGCCTGCTCGATCCTCGGCCGTCATCGTCCGCCGCTCCCGGGATCCCAGGTGGAGGGTTCCGGGTTCGCAGAGGCCTCCGCAGGCAACCCAATTACAACCCTTGCGCCCCCAACGTCTGCCCTCAATGTTCTTATTGACTGAGAGGCAGGGTGACGCAGAGGCTCTGGATTCTCGTTTTTTTACTTAATAACAGAGCCTGTTTCTTCACCTTCTTCACCCAGAAGCTCTGGCTGCCATGAGAAACATGAGGTCTGTCCCAGAACCCAGCTCCTACAGCCCTAAGAAAGCAAGTGCCCCCAAACTGCCAAGCGCTAGCTGCCTCTGACCTCTGATGAAGCATTTCCTGAGTAAGGCCTTTTGTGCAGTCCCCTCTACTTGGAATGCCCTTCCTTCAAAATCCAGATTGAAAAACACAGGTTGGAGAAGCCTTTCTTAACCGGGTGTATGTGTTTGGGGGGTGGGGGGGGCACACAGAATCGATTGCTACCTCCTCTGGGCACGAACAAGCCAAACTTCTTTGGTGTGGCACTGAGCATTCCGTGGTTGTACCTGACTCCCTGTCATCTGCTTTCTCATGAGTGTTTGCCCAATGCAGCGGAAGTCACACAGACCTGCAAATATGTGTGTTTTAATTTTAAGATAATGCCTAATATGTTGCAGGGTTCTACAGGGGGCCAGTTCCAATAGAGGGAGAAGAGGCAGGTGCCTGTCCTGCCTCGACTGCCAGCCATCACTGGCAGTCGAGGCCTTGGGAGGTGAGCATCTCTTGGAAGCAGCAGAGGCCTCTGGAAGTGAGCTAGGCAGCCAATGGTAAGCACTGGGAGGGCTCAGGTTCTGCCCTGGGGGATCCTGGGAAATTGGAGGTTGGCACCTGCCCCCAGGGCTTGGCCTCTGTCCCTGGTGCCCCAGCGTGCCTGCCCAAGTCTGCTGCATGCAAGCTCAGGATCCTTTGCCTGTGAGCCAGGACATGTCGCCGGTCCTGCAGGAATGAAGGGAGGAGAAGTCAGGGTAGAAGAAGAGAGCAGGCTCCCCACTAAGCACCATGAGCAGCTGGCCCTTGAGGATAGCAGGGGCCTGCTCTCTGCCAGACCCTGGTGCCCAGCAGGGAGGTGTATTTGGGCATAAGGGGGAAAGATCATTGGGTGCAGACTCTGGGCTGAGGTGGGAAAGGCTCAGAATGGTCAACAGGAAGGACAGAGGACAAACGTACTTGCTGCGCAGCAGAAACAGCCTTTATGAGGGCAAGAGGGAGAGACAGAGAAGGCCAGGGAGAGAGCATGTCATTTGTGTCCCCTTTTGGTTCTCCATTGTTTTTAGCCTGAGGCTTACCCCAGTCCCTGGGGTGCAGGCAGGTTGAACCCAGCACTATGCTGGGATTAGGGTAATGGCTGGTGTCCAGTGTCTCCCAGACCCCAAACCACCACCTGTACAAGGTGTCCCCAGGGTCATTACTAGCTGCATCTCCCCACCTAGCTTCTGCCAGGCCCACTACAATCATGTCGAGTCAGGTGACCCAGGCCCAGGGATTGCCCAAGCAGTGGGTTTGCCCCGGGACATGGCTCCTTTCCCTTCTGTCTTCGAAGAATACACTCCCAAATTCCACTCCCAAATTACAACCTTTGCCACACTCTGCCCCGTAGTTGCCATGAGCAGCTTAAGCCAGTCCTTCAGTGGACTTCTTGCCCACAACCCCCAAACATGCCACCCCAGGCCTCTAATGCCCACACTCACTCCACCTCCCGCTTCCGGATGGCACGGCCTGAGGCCAGCACCTCAGCCACCTTGGACACGATGGGATCGTAGTTCATGCTGGCCACGGCAATCACCTCGTCGCCTCTGCAGAGAGAGGGTGGCAGAGCCTGAGGACTGCCCAGCAGTGGCCCCTCTTCTTGGAGACCATGACACACCTGGGTCTACCTGAGGCCCAGGGAGGGATGTTACCTGGGACAACAGGAATGTCCTGAGCGCCCCCCCCCCTCTGCTTCAAGCCCCAGCAGGGGCTTCAGGCTCCTACGGGAACCCCAGGGAGGCTCCAGCTTTACTCCTCAGTGGGGTTCAGGGCTGGGCTTGAGTCCTGGGATCACCCACCACTCTCTACCTGTGTGACTACTCAGTATAAAAATGGGATGTCAGCACCCACCTACAGAGCTGTCCTGAAGATAAAATGCCTGCATCAGTGCATGGCAGCTGGAGTTATTACTGCCCCACCTCTTTTCCACTCCCCCACGGTGTCCTGCCTAGGTGCCTCTTTCTGCTGCTCAGCCCACCTTTCAGGTAAGCCCCCCACCCCTCTGGAGCAGTGTTTCTCTAGGATGAGCTCCCCCTCCCAACAGGCCCCCCACTGCTTCGCTCCCCTGCTCCACCCTGTTGGTCTCACTTGGTGTAAAAAGCCACGAACTTGAGTTCCTCCAGATCCCCTTGGATGATGACGTCGTCGAAGCCTTCTCCGTACCCTGTGGGCCGGGCAGGCGGGCGGAGCCCACGTAAGGAGAGGATGGAGCGCCACCAGCTCAGTGTTCTGTGCCCTCCTAACTGGCCCTGGTTCCCCCCTCCAGGCCCAGCTCCCTTTGTCCTTTTAGGTCGTCCCTGGCCCCACACCCAAGCGAATTCTTTGCTGTTTTCTATAGCTGTCGTGGCCCAGCCCCTAGGATGCTCTTAGTCCCGCCCTGACTCCAAGCCCCACCTCTGCACTCCGCTAACACCTTAACTTTGCTCCTAAATGCTCCTGGTCCCACCCCATCTGAGGCCCCAGTTACCTGCATAGCGCAGGCTCTTGCCGAACATGGCGGTCCACAGATAGGGCACGGTGCTGATCTCTGCCTCCTGTGCCAGCATGTTCTGGGCCACCACACGTCCTATAGGACCCAGAGTCGTGACAGCCCTGACCCCACTACCCCTACACTGACTGCCCCAACGCTCTGGGAACGCCTCATATGTGGGGCGACTCCTCTCCTCCCCAGAGGTCAAGAGGTGCATTGTTGAGCAGCCAACTGCCCACCCTTGGTTGCAGCTGACTGGTACAGAGCGGAACACCTAGCTCAAAGCTGGCCACTTAGATTGCTTCTCTGGAGAATTTGAAGTGCCCTCAGTCTGGAAGGTTGGCTTCCTGGGGCTGTGGGCTGCCTGGCCATCTCAAATGTGCCCACAGACAATGAATCAGACACATCAAGTCTGAAGAAGGAGGCAGGAAAGTGCCCAGGAAGCAGAGATGACAGTCACACCCAGGGCTGCAGAGAGAATAATATGGGTGGCTTCCCAGTTCATGAGGCTCCACTGGAGCCTTTTGGTTGGATGTCTGTGAGAGTCTCTGGGACCCTCTCAGTTACACCTTAATTACGTTCAGCTGATGAGTAGCCTTTGGCTCTTAAAACCTAGCACCGACTTCAAACCTTGGATCTGAACAGAAATTGGTACTAGGAGTGGGGTTTCAGGCAGCAGAGGCTCAGATAACATGAAAGCAAAGGGGAGAGGAGGTGGGTGCAGGGAGTGTGGCAGTCATATCCCTGTGAGGCAGTTAACTTTGCTGGCACCTGCAGCTTAGGGGCCCAGACCTGGTATGCACAGTAACAGCTTCAGAGTCTTGGTGAGGGGGGAAAGCTATTCCTCAGAGAGGACAATAGTTCCCCACTGAGCCCGGGTTTGGCCACCTCCCAGGGGCCTGCATAAGGCAACTGGATTCCCAGAGCTAGTTAAGTGGCCCAAAGGAGACAGCAGCACTGAGTGGGGAGCTGGCCGTGTCCTACTAAATCCCTTTCTCCCTGGTGAACGCATCTTTGAGGACAAAAGAAAAGGAGAGGTTGGTGGAAAGACAAGTGGGGTGGGGCACTATGGCTGGCTGAATGGGGTATCCAGAGGGCACAGGAGGGAGGTCTCCAGAGATGTGTCACAGGGCTTGCTCTCTGAGTTGGCTTCATCACCTGGATGAGGCTGGCCAGACAGGTCACTACAGAGCTTTGAATGGTTCTGCAACCAGCAACCAGGACCCAAGGTCAGCAACTAAAGGGTGGGACTGGGGGATGCTGAGACCCTGGGACAGCGTCCCACCTCCCACCCTGCCGTGGAGCTGGCCATACCCTGGGCATGAGCCATCTGCCAGTGTGGGATGTTCACTTTCCGATTGTTCCTCCAGGCCAAGGGGAAGGTGACAGCATCGCCAGCTGCAAACACTCCTGGGACGTTGGTCTGCATCATCTGTGGGGAGAGGGCCCAGGGCTCCATGGATAGGACGGGGGCCCTGACCTGAACCTCCTACCACCCCCAGCCCAGCTCCTTTCCCATCCCACTCAGCCCCACCTTGTTGACAGGGATGAAGCCTCGGGAATCCAGACCGACGCCACTCTGCCTCAGGAAGCCCGTGGCTGGCACCGCGCCTGACAAGACAGGGCCACTGTGTCCACTCCCTGGTCTCTCCCTTCTCTCGCCTCATTGTTCTGCATGACCCACACCCTTGACTTGCCACAACCCAGCCCCAGACTGACCATCCAATGAGCTGCCTACCCTGCAGCCTTTGTTCATCCTGTCCCCTCTGCCTGGTCCCCAACAGAACTCCATGCCTCCTATCAGGCCTCGGGTATAGCCTCCTCTGAGAAGCGTTCCAGGAAGCCCCCTGGTGGGGGTTGGCATACGCCACCACTTCAGCCCCTGTGCTGCCACCTTCCAGCTTTGTCCCTCCCCAAACTGGTACCTCAACTGGAGCAGGGACCAGTTAGAGACGTGTTTGTGTTCTATAGCCTGCACGGGACAGGCCATGGAGTTAAGTATGAGTAGACAGTGATCACTGGGAGCATCCCCCATGCCAGGCCTGGGCTAAGTACCCATTCTCCAACACCACTTTGAAGTGGGTATGATTGAGGTCCCCATTTTACAGTTGTGAAGACAGGCTCAGTGAGGGGAAGGGACTGACCCAAGGCTCTGCTCATTCACACCCACCTGCCCACCCACTCACCAATGCCCACCACACAGACGTCAGCCCGCACCACCTTGCTGCTCTTCAGCACGACCTCTTTCAGCTGTGGAGAGTAGGCAGGTGAGCAGGTAGGCCCAGCTCATGGGCACAGGGGAGAGGAGACAGAGAGCAGCAGGGGATGAGGAGAAGGGCCCACCTTTCCCTCCTGGGCCCGCAGCTCTGACACCTCTGTCTGCATGTAGAACTTGACCCGGTTGTTCTCAAACATCTGTCATGACAGGTAGGCCATGGGTGAGAGCCCAGCTGGAGCTGGGCTGGGTGCCCAGGGTTTGAGGGGCTGGGGGCTCACCTTCATGAGGGCACGGCCGACGCGCTCCCCCAGGAACCGCTTGAAGGGTGTCTCCTCCAACTCTACCACAGACACTGAGTGGGCCTTCTCAGTCAGATAGGCGGCCACCTCCATCCCTGGGCCAGGGCGGTGGGCAGCAGGCTGGCACCTTGCACATCCCAGGGCCAGCACTGCCCTAGAACTGGCTACCCCCACCCCACCACCCCAGCTACTCACCTAGGAAGCCGGCTCCCACAACCACTGCATTTCGGCCCCGGGCCAGCCTCACCACACGATTGGCATCCTCAGGCGTCCGGATGGTGAACACATTCTCCACCTCTTTGCCTTTGCAGCTCAGGGTCTTAGGGCTGAGACATAGCCAGCATCAGTGAGGGGCTCCCAGCACCCCAAGCCCTCCCATCCTGGCTGGTGCCCTATCCCAGTGCCCAACGGGGCAGCTGGGAAGACCCTCCTACCTGCTCCCTGGTGCTAGCAGCAGCTTGCTGTACTCCAGCTTGAAGCCGTCCTTGAACACGACCTTCTTGTTTCTCACATCCACTGTGACCACCTGCAACCCCCCACCAGGAAGAGCATGGACCTGGACCTGGCCGCCCGCTCCCAGGTCCTACAGTACTCCCAGAGCCCGGCCAGACCCATTGAGCAGCTCCATTGGGCTGTTGATGCCATCTGGGTTGTCCTTCCTTCCTCACCTAGCAACTCCTCCTCACTCTTTAAGCTTCAGACATCACCTTCCCCTCAAAACCCTCCTTATGCTCCCAAGTCCCATCAGGTTCTCCCATCCCAGCCCTGAACAGATCGTCCATGTCCCCACATACTGGGGCTCTCTGTGTGTGCCCATGGCCCTGCCAGAAATAAGATCCAGAGCAGCCTCCCAGGCTTGGAGCGCCCTCTGGGTGCCTAGGCATGAGGGCAGAGCACCCTTACACCTTCAGGGACCCACACAGCCTCATGCCCTTCATAGTTACCCAGCCTTGCCCAGTACCTGGGCCTCGGTGAGCACTTCGATGCCATAGGCTCGGAAGAACTCCTTGGGCCTCAGGGCCAGCTGCTCAGGCTGGGCATCCAGGGACTGCAGGAGACAGCCAGCTTGAGATGAGGCTAGGCGGCATTGTTCCATTTTGCAACAGAGTACCTGGGGCTCAGGGATGGTGGGGCCAGCCCCAGGTCACATGGGGGCTGCAGGACAGAACTGAGCAAACCCAGATCTTCAAAACCCCGGGGCACCACAGATGGGCCTCGCATGAATGGAGAAGGCAGCTGGCCAGACCCCCAAGGGGCAACAAGCAAGGCTCTGAGTGAGCCTGACAGCCCAGAGGGAGAGGGCCCAGCTCCCAGTCGCCCCATCCCCTACCTTGCTGAGCTTAGGCCGGTCATAGGGAAGGTGCCGGTCCAGCGTGCACAGGACGATCCTGTCCGAGAAGCCCTCCTGCCGCAGGGTCTCTGCACACACCAAGCCAGCTGCACCTGAGGGGAGGGGGCTGTGGGTCAGGGACTACCTCTCCCCCACCCCACCCTGCCCCTCATGACCCCACCACCAACCTGCGCCCACAATGAGCACGTTGGTACTGCCACTGTGGCCAGCACTTGGAGAGATACACTTGGCCATCACCTTGGTCCTTCGCTGCAGCTGCAATGCCTGGGGGGTCACCAGAGAGTGGGGGGTAGCTGAGAGCTGGGGTCATGACCAACCTCCCTATGCCAACATTCTAGCAGTCCAGCCTCATCCTCACCATGCAGCCCTTCACTCTTACCCAGCCACATCACCGGACTCCCTCCCATCCCAGGGCTTTGCACATGCTGTTCCCTGGACCCAGATGCTCTCCTCGCCCCTCCCTTTTGCCTGAGCCCCAGGTCACCCCCTCACCTGCTTGCTGGCTCGGACGTACACCTTCTCTTTCTCAATCTTCACCTGCAAGTGCTTCAGTGCTCAGAACCAGGCTTTGGGGTGCTCTGGCCCCTGACCCTGTACCCCCAGGCTCCCACCCCACCATGCACCCGGCTTCACCTGGAACTTGTGCAGACTATCCAGGCCAGGGAAGTCCTCCAGGTCCCCAGTGCTGATGTTGAAGCAGGCACCATGCCAGGGGCAGCGCACCCGGCCACGGGATAGCACACCTGGGAGGGGGCCGTGCAAGCTGGAATCACCAGCAAGAGTTCCTCTGCAAGAATCTCTGTGTCCCAGCACCCCCTTCCACACAGCCCAGGAGACCCCGCCAACACATGAGGAACTGAAGGCCCAGGGAGGAGCCACGCTAGCCTGGTGGAGCTGGGGGCATGAGCCCCTCAGGGGGAGAGCGCCCCCCTTATGATGGTGCAGAGACCAAGCCCACTTCAGAAGTCCCACCCCCACCTCCAATGTGCACCAGAACCACTCACCTTTCACTAGGGGTGCACCATAGTGTGGACATTTGTGGCCCAGGGCATGGAACTCCCCGTTGTCCTTCACCAGCAACACCTTCCCCCAGCCCAGCTCCACTTCCCGCATCCTGTGGAAGGGTTGCACTCAGAAGTCAGGCCAGATGTGAGGCACCACCTCCTGTAGGCACCTCCTCCCCGAGGCCAGCCTTCTAGGAAGCAGGCCCAGACTAGCAGAAACCACGAAAGCAGTGGCCAGGACAGGAAAGGGCCATGGCCCTTTCCAGGCCACCCCACCTGCCACATCCATGGATTGTGCTTGCCCTCCCACCTGGGGCCCTCTAACCCCTGTCCCAAGCCCAGCACCCACTGGCCATTCTCGAAGTCCTTGACATGGCAGACAGCAGCCTCCACGCAGTCCTGAGCACCAGGGTAGGGGTGAGGGGCAGGCAGGCGCTCCTCTGTGTGGAAGTGACGGGCAGTGCCATTGCCCTGGTAGGCCCGGGGGCTGCCCTTGCCGCTGGCTGACAGCTCCTCCTTGCCCCGCTCCTTCTCAGGCAGCACCACCTCGATCTTGAGCTCCACTGCAGGGGAAAGTGGGGGTGTGTGTGTGGACTGTGAGCCTCCAGACGGCCCACCTTGCCCGCCCCACAAGCTCTGGGTTCCTGAGTGTGGGTTCTCGCCTGTACCTCAACCTCTCCAGGAAGCCTTCTGCATCACCAGCAAAGAGCTTTAAAACAGACAAGAAGCAGGGCAGGCGCGGATACTGGGTGGGCTTGAATTCATCTCTGCATGTTTTCTTTTCAATAACAAAATTCATGAGGGGTCACAAATTAAGCTCTTTGAACCCTAAAATTGCCCTTTCTCCAGGAATCTGTGTGGAGGAAAAGCGCTCTGGTGCCGAGTCTTGCTCTGACTCCAAGGGCACAGTCCCCAGTGGAGAACGACATTCCTGAGGGATCAGGGGCACATTTGGTCTGACTCAAGTGAGAACAGGGCATCCCACAGGGGTGCAGCTCAGATCCCAGCTGGTGAATATGGGTGAAGGGAAATCAAGGGTTCATTGTTCTATGCTTGCCACTTTCCCATAGGTTTGAAATTTTTTTCAAAATTAAAAAAAAAAAAGTATATGCAACATAATTTCAACTTCTTAAAATAGCTATTCTCACCAGTTTGAGAATCCTGCAGCATTTACCAAGCGCTGGTTTTACAGTGTATTCATGTGCAGGGGTCAGGAGCCTTAGGGATGACCCCTGCCTGGGGAGGGGTGCATGTGGACAGAGAAGCAAGGGCACACCCCCCTTAGCCTCCACACAGAAGACACTGCCCCAGCCTGCCCATGGGGCCAACTCTAGGGGGGAGTCAGCTGGAGATTGTCATTTTCTTCTTTATACTTCACATTTTCCAAATTCCCTACAATGTGCCTGGGGTATTTTTCTAATTAGAAGGGAACAATAAACAGAATTTTGAGCAGCGATAATCCGGCCTCCTGGGCTGCTGCTACAGGGAGGACGGCTGAGTGATGGAAGCTAAGCTCCTGGCACAGCATGGGCCTGATGCTGGAGCAGGAAGGAGATGCCTCTCCCAACTCCCAAGGCACCAGAGCCTCCAAGCCTCTCCGGGCTTCACCTCTGATCCCTTCCACCTCGGATGTTACACTCCAGAAGCAAAGAACCCAGAGTCACAGCTCCCAGCCTTTGCCTATGCAGTTTCCTTGGCCCAAGCTGCCATCCTTCCTCGTCTCATGCTGTGCTAATCACCCATCCTGTCCTGGCTGGGAGCCTGGTGGGGGGCAGCCCCCCACCCACAGCCTCACATTACAGCCCCCAGCCCAGGCTTGGGCACAGCAGGAGTCAGAGATGTAGGTACACTCCGTAATTCCAGCTGAGCAGGGAATGCACCTGAGCACACCACATGCTGAAGCTGTGTGTGCGTGTGCGTGTGCGTGTGCATGTGTGTGTGTGAGAGAGAGAGAGAGAGAGAGAGACAGAGACAGAGACAGAAAGAGAGAGAGAGAGAGAGAGAGAGAGAGGAGGGGGGAGAGAAAGGGGGTGGTTGTGGGTGGAGTGGGTTTTTCCCTTCATTTTCCATACTTTATGTAATGGTGTTAGAATGTTTTCAGAAGAATTAAAAAGAAAAGTACTTTGGACTCAGCTGACACCAGTTATGTGAGCTTTAGAGAAGGAGCTCACAAGAACAGCCTGGCAGGGACCCAGATAACAGCCAAGCCAGGCTGTTTTCATCCTCCACCTTCTTCCAGAAGGCTCTGAGATACTCCCTAATGCAATCTAACTGGCAGCCATTAAGTCAGGAGCCAAAGAGCCAAATCAAATCTAGCTCCATGATTCCCAGCTGCCCATGTGACCACAGCCCCCTGCCTGAGCTCCTTTGAGCAGATGCCTTTGTTATAAAATGGAGAGAACAGCATCTGTCTCTTTGGTGACCCTGAACATGTAACCCAGAGAAAAAGCTCAACAAATGAAATTGGGTAATAGTGTTTTTTGTTACTGTTGTTCCTTCTTTTTCAAATGTGTTTTTTGTTTGTTTGGGGTTTTTGTTTTTTGTTTTTGGCGGGGCTAATAGTGTTTTATTAGTTAGCTCTGAGCTTCCTAGCAGCCATGGCAAAGAGGGAAACCCTTTAGGTAGCACTTGTAGCCTAATAAAAGACAGGTGACCACATACCAAGAGAGGTGCATTTCTTCCTAGTTCTGAGCTTAATAAGGGTCTGGTCTGGAACACTTCCTATCAGGAACACAGAACCACTGAAGTATGGGGAATACAGAGAGAGCTCAGGAAGTGTGTGTCGATGTGCTCTGAGCCACAGAGTCGAACAAGGTAGAAAATGAAGAATTTGCACAAAGATCCTCAGCTTGTTCTAGTTTCCTTATGGCCCCAGCTGAACCCTCGTGGCTGAATGCTCTCACTCTCACACCCTAAAATTCCCTAAGCCTCACCCCTCACCTGCCCAGCATGTATGCCTGAGCTCTTGCCCTCCTGCCACAGCCCCACAAGGGCTCTCCTGGCTGCAGAGAGCCCAGCCCCCAAAAAGGGGATAATAGCATTCTGCAAGTGCCTCCTGTGTTGGGGCCCTGTGCTAAACACAACAGCCTGCACAGGGGACACAATTATTAGCCCCCGTTTTATAAGTGAGAACACAGAGACTCAGAGAGGTAATGTCACCTGCCCAAGGCCACACAGCCAGAAAGGAGGACTGGATTTGAACTCAAGAGGCCAAGTTCTTAGCACTGCCTCTGGTGTAGCGAGAGTGACCAACCCCTGTACCAAGAGTCTTTAGGGCCAGGGGTCCCTAGCAGGCCAGGCCTTTGCATTACTATAAAAGAAACTACAGGTGGCATCTTTTTCCCAGGGCCTCCTGCCAGCCTAGTAGTCCTACCAGAGCCCAATACGGGACCAACTAGCATCCCCCTGCCCAATTCTAATGGGGGGAAGCTGAGGTCAAGATAATGAACATCATTTGCCCAGGTAACATATCGAGGAAGGGAGTGTGGTGGGATCTGGCCCAGGGCTTGGTATCTACAGCATGGGAGTAAGGGGAGAGAGAGCAGGTTTCTGGGGGCAGGAGTGAGTGTATCCCTCTGCCTGGTAGGACATGACACATCTCCTCTTGACCCCAAGTTCTATCTCAGACCCAGGAAAAGGAGCAAAGGATCAGGCGTTCCAAGGTAATGAAGCCGATGGGTATCAGGTAAGGTGAGCTGGGGTTAGCTGGCATGGGCAGGGTAGCCTGGGCAAGGTGGGCGGGGTACCGCCTGGGCACTAGAGAAACTTCTCTAGGCGTCGGTTCCTTCATCTGTGACATGCTTGTACACCTTGCTTTCCTGGGTGTTGTGAGAAGGAAAGAGGGAAAGTGGGAGCCAGAGGAAGAACCCAGCACAGTCTCCAGGGGAGATTGAACCCAGGCTTCCTCAGCACCCTGGGACATCCCTACCCTGGACTGGAACCCCTTGGGCTAAGGAGCGTGGGGATTTCCTATACAAATGGGGCAGCGTGCCCAGAGAGACTGAGGAGGTGGCCCAAGGTCACAAAGGGGTCAGAAGAGGTGAAGAGGGCTGGGACCTGTCCATTCCACTCTCACAATAACTCTGAGAGGTCATTTTATAGAGAGGAAAACTGAGGCTCTGAGAGGTAACTTGAGTACCCTGGGCCACAGAGTGGCTGAGGGTGTTCCCAGAGCCCCCCTTCCCTGGCCCTGGGGGAACACAGCTCCCTTCCCCACCCTGTGGCAGAAAGAACCCTCCCCTCTCCTTTCCAAGAAAAGTCAGCTGCTATTCCTACCACCAGTACCCAAAGCCCCAAATAAAGAGTGGGTGTCACTGGAAGGGGGCCAGCAGAACCCTCCAGTCCCCTCACCCTCTCCTGCCTGCTGCGCATTAACATTCGGAGCCGGCTGCTGCCCAGCCTGACCTACTTTGGAGGCAGAAAGGGAGAGGGAGGAGGAAGGTGGCAGGAGGCGGGAGGGGGAAGGGGGAATGCAAGAAGAGAGGAGTTACCTGGCTTAGGTTTGGAGAAGCAGCCGCCCATGGCGAGTGGCCCTCAGATGGGCAGGGGGCAGGCGCACAGGTGGTGGGCTGTGGGAGGCTAGGATGCCCCTGGTGGGGCTGGACCCCCCATGGCCCTGAGAAATGCTGGAGCCGCCATCACCATCCCAGCTAGAGCGGCCTGGGGTGCGGAGACGAGGAGGTGTCAATAGGGCCTAGGGTTTAGATGGGTTCTATGGGTAGAGATAGAGAGAGATAGACACAAATGGTGGGGGAGCTTCTGGAAGAGACCCACATTGGAGATGGAAGTTGTTGCATATAGGGGAGCCAGATCCCAGAGGAGCAAAGGGACCCTGGAGGGCACCTTCCTTTTGAGGCTCTCCAGGCTCAGCACCCTCACTGCCCCCTCCCACCTTTGCCTGGGCTGTGCTCATTGCCAGGGGAGCCCCTCTGTTCCAACTTAGCCAGACTTTTAGGTCCAACCTCACAGCTGCCTTGTCTAGCAAATCTTCCCTGCTTTCTGCTGCCCCCTTAAGCTCCCACAGCTTGGGAGCCCTGGAGCCCTCCTTTCTCCGAGGGGAGACCATTATGCCTGGGGTCAAACCTCAGATCCACTTGGGCAGATCAGAACCATCCTGGTCCTCGGGTTTCTCTTTACTACAATGGAGTGACATTTACTTCTCCCTGGCCCCAGCACCCCCGCTGGCTAGCAGCCCCTTGATACCTACCTGTTCCAAGGGCAGCCAGTGCTTCTTGTTCCCGGCCCAACAGGGGATCCAGGCTGCCTGGCCCTGAAAGGCAGGGCAAGGGGGCAGGGGTCCAGGAGGCAGCCCAGCCTCCACCCCTCCTCCCAGTGTGAGCTGCCACCAGGAGGGGCTAGAAGGGGCGGGGCTAAGTCAGTCCACTGGTCCCCAGGGAAACCCAGCTCCATGGTGAACAGAAGTGGGCGGCCAGCCCGGGCCTGATGGGGTCCAGCGGGAAAGGGAGGCTAGGCACACAGTCCTGCCATAGGCCATGCCCAGCAGCCATGAGCTCCCACCCCCCACTCTCACTCTTCACAAATGCCCACCAGGCCCGTGGTGCTGAGGTCATGCCCTGCAGCAAATGGAGAAACCGGGGAGCCAAGGGCTTACCAAGATCAAGCAGCAGGTAGGGGCATCCGGGTGGCCTCCCACCCCCTTTCCAACTTAGTTCCAAGAAGGGTAGAGACCCAAGAAGCCCACATATCATCCTGTAAGCCACTGGGCTGGAGGAGGGGTCACCAGGTCAGCAGAGCTCCCTGTAGCCAAGGAGCCCTCAGCGCCACAGGGTAGACCTTCTGGAAGATGTAACCTACAGACTGGACTTTGGGAGGCCCAGGACAAAATTGTAGCTGCCCAGTTTACAACTGACCTCTTCACAGTCCATCCCACTGTCACCTCCTTTGTTTCCCCTGGAAGTTCTTCCTGAAGTCTAAACTCAAGGTGGGGCTGAGGCTCACTGGGTCTATCCCAGGTCCCAGCAAGGGCCCTGGGTGGGTGCCTGAGAGCAAGGGGGCCAGGAAGACAGGAGGAAAAGGTTGGAGAAGGACCACCTATTGCCTGGCACCTGATCTTACCTGCCCTAGAGGCACCCATTACAGGCCAGGAGGCGGTGGCACCCAAAGGCCGGCCCCCTGGGCACACCCATGCTCTTTTCGCCAGTTGTCGCCAAGGCAGGTTGGTAAAATGTGGCCACCATTTGCCCCTCATGCCCTCTACCTGGCACCAGGGGGACCCTCCCCAGATCTGGCTTCACCTGTGGCTCAGCCCTGACCACCTCCTTCCTGCCTGGCATCAGGCCTCACCAGCTGGATCACAGATCCCAGAAAAAGTGGGACTTGCCACCAGGACCTGTGGGCTGTTCCCTCCTTTCCCAGGTGCCCAGGTATCTAGACCTTTCAGGCCCTTGGGCCTGGAAACAGATTTGCTGAGGATGGAAACTTCTCCAGGCCCACTGTGTGCTAGCTAAGCAGGTTTGGTGCCCTCCTGCCTCCTGCAGGCCCAGACATCCCACTCAAAGGCAAAAGTCCTTGCCAGGTGCATGGTAGGGGGGGACCCCATGTTTTGGTGGAGTGCTGTCTGTTGCTCACAAGCTGCCCAATGCCAAAAAGTTGTAACTGCCTGTGTCCTGTCCCAGACCTCCCCTCCCAGGGCCCCAGCTGGTGGAGGCTGAGAAGGAGCCTCTCCCCACTTCTCTGCACAGCCCCTCTCTGTCCCCCTAGTCCCACTCTTCATCAAGGGTCTGATGGGTCTTTCCTATACCCACCCTAGGGGCTCCTGCCCAGCTCAGACCCTCAGTGCCTTTCAGCCTTTTTTGGATGGCATCCAAACTCCTCAGCCAGGCATTTGAGTTTGGGGAGCAGGCGGTCCTCACCTCCTCCCCTATAGGGTTTAGGCACAAACCTCCTGTGCACTCTCCCTGCCTTTGCACGTGCAGTTCCTCTATCTGGGATGCCCTTTCAAGTAGCCTCCACAGATTGTCCAGGTCCCTCCACCAGACCAGGTGGCCCAGGAAGCGGGAATGGCACACAGTAGGGCCACGCGGCGAGCAGGGGAGGACCCGGCCGGGGAGGAGAGGAGGAAGAGGGGCGCTCTTGCTCTGGCTTGTCTCTTTCTCCTCGGCTGCAGACCCCCAGACTCCAGAGCGTCCGCCCGGGTTCCGAGACCCGTGAGGGCGCGCGCTAGCTGGGGGTGCGGAGGCTGCGGGATAGGGACCCGGGGACCGAAGCGGGTGCCGGGGACGGGGTCCGGGGGACTAGGGGCGGGCGCTCACCTGAGCTGGGCGCAGGCGTCCGCTCTGGAGCCGCTACCGGGCCGCGGCCGCGGGGCAGGGGGAAGGGGGGG